CAATGGACAATTCGTTTGGCTATCTCAATGGCCTTGTATCCACATGACGTCCATGTGCTTGTCATTACGTCATTGAAATACATGGTAATTCACCAACTGAAAACGCAAATGTCCGATGGAAATTCCACTTGTCCATTGGATCCAATGGACAAACAAAATTCCAATGGACATTTGCAAGTCCATTGGATCCATTGGATCCATTGGACAATTCGTTTGGCTATCTCATTGGCCTTGTATATCTACATGACGTCCATGTCCTTGTCATTACGTCATAGTAATACATGGTAATTCACCAACTGAAAAGGCAAATGTCCGATGTAAATTCCACTTGTCCATTGGATCCAATGGACAAACAAAATTCCAATGGACATTTGCAAGTCCATTGGATCCATTGGACCCAATGGACAATTCGTTTTGGCTATCTCAATGGCCTTGTATATCTACATGACGTCCACGTGCTTGTCATTACGTCATTGAAATACATGGTAATTCACCAACTGAAAACGCAAATGTCCGATGGAAATTCCACTTGTCCATTGGAACCAATGGACAAACAAAATTCCAATGGACATTTGCAAGTCCATTGGATCCATTGGATCCAATGGACAATTCCTTTGGCTATCTCAATGACCTTGTATATCTACATGACGTCCATGTGCTTGTCATTACGTCATTGAAATACATGGCAATTCACCAACTGAAAACGCAAATGTCGGATGGAAATTCCACTTGTCCATTGGACAAACAAAATTCCAATGGACATTTGCAAGTCCATTGGATCCATTGGATCCAATGGACAATTCGTTTCGCTGTCTCAACGGCCTTGTATATCTACATGACGTCCATGTGCTTGTCATTACGTCATTGAAATACATGGTAATTCACCAACTGAAAACGCAAATGTCCGATGGAAATTCCACTTGTCCTTTGGATCCAATGGACAAACAAAATTCCAATGGACATTTGCAAGTCATTGGATCCATTGGATCCATTGGACAATTCGTTTTGGCTATCTCAATGGCCTTGTATATCTACATGATGTCCACGTGCTTGTCATTACGTCATTAAAATACATGGTAATTCACCAACTGAAAACGCAAATGTCCGATGGAAATTCCACTTGTCCATCGGACTCAATGGACAAACAAAATTCCAATGGACATTTGCAAGTCTATTGGATCCATTGGATCCAATGGACAATTCCTTTGGCTATCTCAATGGCCTTGTATATCTACATGACGTCCATGTGCTTGTCATTACGTCATTGAAATACATGGTAATTCACCAACTGAAAACGCAAATGTCCGATGGAAATTCCACTTGTCCATTGGATCCAATGGACAAACAAAATTCCAATGGACATTTGCAAGTCCATTGGATCCATTGGATCCATTGGACAATTCGTTTGGCTATCTCATTGGCCTTGTATATCTACATGACGTCCATGTCCTTGTCATTACGTCATAGTAATACATGGTAATTCACCAACTGAAAAGGCAAATGTCCGATGTAAATTCCACTTGTCCATTGGATCCAATGGACAAACAAAATTCCAATGGACATTTGCAAGTCCATTGGATCCATTGGACCCAATGGACAATTCGTTTTGGCTATCTCAATGGCCTTGTATATCTACATGACGTCCACGTGCTTGTCATTACGTCATTGAAATACATGGTAATTCACCAACTGAAAACGCAAATGTCCGATGGAAATTCCACTTGTCCATTGGAACCAATGGACAAACAAAATTCCAATGGACATTTGCAAGTCCATTGGATCCATTGGATCCAATGGACAATTCCTTTGGCTATCTCAATGACCTTGTATATCTACATGACGTCCATGTGCTTGTCATTACGTCATTGAAATACATGGCAATTCACCAACTGAAAACGCAAATGTCGGATGGAAATTCCACTTGTCCATTGGACAAACAAAATTCCAATGGACATTTGCAAGTCCATTGGATCCATTGGATCCAATGGACAATTCGTTTCGCTGTCTCAACGGCCTTGTATATCTACATGACGTCCATGTGCTTGTCATTACGTCATTGAAATACATGGTAATTCACCAACTGAAAACGCAAATGTCCGATGGAAATTCCACTTGTCCTTTGGATCCAATGGACAAACAAAATTCCAATGGACATTTGCAAGTCATTGGATCCATTGGATCCATTGGACAATTCGTTTTGGCTATCTCAATGGCCTTGTATATCTACATGATGTCCACGTGCTTGTCATTACGTCATTAAAATACATGGTAATTCACCAACTGAAAACGCAAATGTCCGATGGAAATTCCACTTGTCCATCGGACTCAATGGACAAACAAAATTCCAATGGACATTTGCAAGTCTATTGGATCCATTGGATCCAATGGACAATTCCTTTGGCTATCTCAATGGCCTTGTATATCTACATGACGTCCATGTGCTTGTCATTACGTCATTGAAATACATGGCAATTCACCAACTGAAAACGCAAATGTCGGATGGAAATTCCACTTGTCCAATGGACAAACAAAATTTCAATAGACATTTGCAAGTCCATTGGATCCATTGGATCCAATGGACAATTCGTTTGGCAATCTCAATGGCCTTGTATATCTACATGACGTCCATGTGCTTGTCATTACGTCATTGTAATACATGGTAATTCCCCAACTGAAAACGCAAATGTCCGATGGAAATTCTACTTGTCCATTGGATCCAATGGACAAAAAAAATTCCAATGGACATTTGCAAGTCCATTGGATTCATTGGATCCAATGGACAATTCGTTTGGCCATCTCAACGGCCTTGTATATCTACATAACGTCCATGTGCTTGTCATTACGTCATTGTCATACATGGTAATTCACCAACTGAAAACGCAAATGTCCGATGGATATTCCACTTGTCCATTGGACCCAATGGACAAACAAAATTCCAATGGACATTTGCAAGTCCATTGGATCCATAGGATCCAATGGACAATTCCTTTTGGCTATCTCAATGGCCTTGTATATCTACATGTCGTCCATGTGCTTGTCATTACGTCATTGAAATACATGGCAATTCACCAACTGAAAACGCAAATGTCAGATGGAAATTCCACTTGTCCATTGGACAAACAAAATTCCAATGGACATTTGCAAGTCCATTGGATCCATTAGATCCAATGGACAATTCGTTTGGCTATCTCAATGGCCTTGTATATCTACATGACGTCCATGTGCTTGTCATTACGTCATTGAAATACATGGTAATTCACCAACTGAAAACGCAAAGGTCCGATGGAAATTATACTTGTCCATTGGATCCAATGGACAAACAAAATTTCAATGGACATTTGCAAGTCCATTGGATCCATTGGATCCAATGCACAATTCCTTTGGCTATCTCAATGGCCTTGTATATCTACATGACGTCCATGTGCTTGTCATTACGTCATTGTAATACATGGTAATTCACCAACTGAAAACGCAAATGTCCGATGGAAATTCCACTTGTCCATTGGATTCAATGGACAAACAAAATTCCAATGGACATTTCCAAGTCCATTGGATGCATTGGATCCAATGGACAATTCGTTTTGGCTATCTCAATGGCCTTGTATATCTATATGACGTCCACGTGCTTGTCATTACGTCATTGAAATACATGGCAATTCACGAACTGAAAACGCAAATGTCCGGTGGAAATTCCACTTGTCCATTGGATCCAATGGACAAACAAAATTCCAATGGACATTTGCAAGTCCATTGGTTCCATTAGATCCAATGGACAATTCGTTTTGGCTATCTCAATGGCCTTGTGTATCTACATGACGTCCACGTGCTTGTCATTACGTCATTGAAATACATGGTAATTCACCAACTGCAAACGCAAATGTCCGATGGAAATTCCACTTGTCCATTGGATCCAATGGACAAACAAAATTCCAATGGACAAATAGAGATCCATTTGACAAATGGAATGTCCAATGGCCTTTTCATTTTTCCATCGGACATCTTGCATGGGTATTGGACATTAATCGAAAAAGGGCGTTATGCTTATGAGTGTAAAAATCGGAATACCGATGAGGAGGGCCATTTAGGTATTTCCTCCACACCTGGGTATAAAATTTCTGATCCCATGCATACTAAAGGGCAATTGAATGGGCGAATTATAGATATGGTAATTGATTCAGGGTGTTGTAGAACATTAGTGCATGAGAAATTTGTAGGAAATAACCTCTATACAGGGAATTAATGACAGTTTTGATGGCGAATGGGGATCGGACCAGAGTTCCTCTGGCTTGGGTTGAAATTCGGAGTGAACACGGTATTCACAAGGAGTTAGTTGGGGTGATGCATAATCTCCCCGTAGACTGCTTGTTAGGTCGGTCTTCCTTTGGCCTGTCTTTAACTAAGGAGGATTTATTGAAGCAATGGGATCAATGTGTGGGGTATTCTTGTCAACCGGGAAACTTGGCTGAGGGGCAAGCATTTGTTCTTACCCGTAGGCAAGTGGCATTACAACAGGCTCAAACGCAACTAGATCAACGGATAGATAACAAAATCAAATGATTGTGAAAAAATTACAATGGAATGAGAATCAGGGTAATAATGAATCAGTAGATGATTATAATTTGAATGAGTTGTTTGAGACTGAGCCAAATCTTAATGAGCCTAATGAGGAGCCCAATAAAGAATGCAAGGCACCGACTGAAACGATTGAAGGAAAACGTAATATACTTAATCGTGATCGTGCTCAATTAATTCAGGATCAAGCCAAAGATGTAACTTTAAATAATTTAAAAGTCTCCGATATTGCGCCGTTGGAAACGGGTTTTTTTTTGCGGGTGAATAATGTGTTTATGCATAGGAAATTTAATAAATATCCCCATGATGGGTTTTTTCATGTGGATCGAATTGTGGTTCCGGAGGTATATCGACCGGAAATATTGAAACTTGGCCATACAATACCCTTAGCTGGTCACATGGGACAAGAAAAGACTTTTGAAAGAATATCTATGCACTTCTTTTGGCCCCGGTTGTATAGTGAAGTTAAAAATTATTGTGCAACTTGTCCTCAGTGTCAACTGGTTGAACGTAAATTGGTAAACAATAGGGCCCCACTTAATCCCGTAAAAATAGTTACGGAACCTTTTAAGAAAGTGGCTATCGATTTAATAGGGGAGTTGCCACGAAGTAAAAACGGGTATAAATATATTTTGACATTAGTCGACTATGCAACTCGATATCCCGAAGCCATACCACTTAAAACGACACAGTCAAGGGTGGTCGCCGAAGCTTTGGTGAATATATTTTCCCGGGTAGGGTTACCAGAAGAGATTGTTTCTGACCAAGGGGCAAATCTGGTGGGGAATTTAATGAAACAGTTGTATGAACTGTTGGGAATTAGGCATATAAAAACCTCAGTTTATCATCCGGAGGCCAATGGGTTAGTGGAACGGTTTAGTGGAACTCTAAAGCACATGCTTTAGAAATTTGTAGGTAGGGAGATTGAATCCTGGGATAAGTATCTGCCTTTTGTATTATTTGCGTACAGGAAAGTGCCGCGCCAGTCAACAGGATATTCCCCTTTTGAATTATTATTTGGAAGAACCGTACGAGGACCTTTGACTGCTGTTAAACACGCTTGGGTTTCTTCGAAAATATCGGAAGACTACCTAGATTATGTATTAGAAACCCGTAAAAGATTAACACAAATGCAAGAAATTGTTCATGAAAATTTGAAAGGAACACAGGAAAAACAAAAGAAATTATATGATCGGCAGAGTTCCCGAAGGCTTCTTGGGGTGGGAGATAAGGTGTTAGTGTTGCTCCCTACGCCCGGAAGTAAATTAGAGATGAAATGGCAAGGACCCTTTATTGTAAGTAAAGCGTTTGAGAATGGATTAAATTATGAAGTTGATAGGGGAAAGGGGGACAAACAAAAACGTGTATATCATATTAATTTATTGAAACTGTGGAAGACCCGGGAGGAGTTAGCAACATTTTCGTGTTCGGGCCCTATAACTCCTGAGAAACAGGAGGGTTGTAACCCTTGGGGAAATCAAAAAGAGACTTGGCATGATGTGGAAATTTCCCCTGAGTTAAGCAAGGAACAATTGAGTGCTATACAACTTTTGTTACAAGAATACTCGGATATATTTTCTAACATTCCAAGTAGGACATCTGTGACCGAACACAAAATTGATACAGGCGAAGCAACCCCTATTAGGTCACCTCCCTACCGAATACCGCAGAGTTTAATAGAAAGGGTAAATGATGAATTGCACCAAATGTTAGAGATGGGCATAGTTAGACCATCGAAAAGTCCATGGGACTCCCCTGTGGTTATAGTGCCTAAACCGGATGACACAATCAGGTTTTGTGTTGATTTTAGAAAATTGAATAATATTACCAAAATGGATGCATATCCCATCCCTCGTATGGATCAAATGTTGGAAAAGGTAGCCCAAGCTAGGTATATATCGACTTTGGATATGACCAAGGGGTTTGGCAAATCCATTAAATGAGGATTCTATACCGAAATCTGCTTTTATAACTGCCCAAAGGTTATTTGAATTTACAGTCATGCCCTTTGGCATGAAAACTGCGCCGGCGACGTTTCAACGCATGATGAAACATGAGGTGTTAAATGGGTTGGAGGCTTTTGCGGATGCATATATTGACGATGTGGAAATTGACACATCCGCCAGTGACCTTTGAACAGCATTTAAAAGATCTGCGGCGAGTTTTTGATAGGTTATGTGAAGCGAAGTTACGCGCAAATCCGTCAAAATGCAGAATTGCTATGCCTATGGTAGATTTTATTGGCCATAGGGTAGGGGGTGGTATAATCGCCCCTAGAGATGCGCTCATTGAAAAGATATTGCAGTTTTCGAAGCCCAAAACGAAAAAAAAAATTCGTTCATTTCTTGGTCTGGCCGGATACTATCGTCGCTTTATTGAAAATTTTGCGGACATTGACACACCGCTTATTAACTTAACCAGAAAAATTGAACCTACGAAAATGGTATGGACTAGGCAAGCAGAAGATGCTTTTTCTAAACCGTGTGTTTATTCTTAAGACGGATGCGTCAGGATACGGCATGGGCGCAATCCTGAGTCAGTTGGATGGTAACGGGGGAGAACATCCCATCGCTTTTGCGAGCAGAAAATTACAACCCCGAGAGTTAAAGTTAGCGACGATTGAGAAGGAGTGTTTGGCAATTGTTTGGGCTGTTGAAACTTTCCGATATTACATTTTTGGTAGAAAGTTTAAACTGCAAACGGATCATAACCCTTTAGTTTGGCTAAACCAAGTAAAGGATTAAAATCGTAAGTTGCTGCGGTGGAGTTTGACTCTTCAAGAGTATGAGATAGAGTATGAGCATAAGGCGGGGGAAAAGAATGTGGATGCAGATGCGTTAAGTAGAATTGAGTAAAGTCCCGTGGGAGTGTAGGAACCTTCCTTGCCGATGGGTATTTTTCGTCCGGCTGCTCCTCTCCGACCGGTTTGGGAGTTGTTGCTGGTGTATGTGTACTCGTCAGATTTTTTAACAGCATTGGATCAATTACAGTTGTAATATGATCTTTGGCGGGAAGGTGTGATAAAAGAATAGCTGTATATAATTATATATTATGAATATGTAAATTAATGGATTATATAAGGAGCCCAGAGTTTGAAGCGAGCAGAGGAAAAACAGGACAAGCAAGGAAGGAGTTCCTAAACATTCAAAAACCGACGAAGACCTTCAGGAGAAGAACAACTTGGAAAGACATCTTGCTTTTGTTGGAAGTATATTGAAGTTCGCTGACTATATACGCCCAAGTTCATTTGAGATCGACAGAAAACCACCTCGAAGCGATTTAAGAATGTTCAGGTTGTCAGCAAGAGGGCCCTGAAGGGGTAAAATGGGAACTGGGATTGATCTATTTTAGACTGGGAAAATGGGATTTGGGTTGCTGGGACTGGGATTTGGCCACTGGGAATGGGAAATCAAGTCCTCAAAAATGGGAATGGGATTGAGGTAATGCGAGTCGATTCCCAATTTTTCTACGTTTTAAGTATTTTAAAATACAATTTTGATCCGTTTTTGGTGTCTTTGGTCATAATTTTTGTTGTTAACTATATTATTCACAGCACTACCTGCGAACAGGCATACTCTGGCGCCCGAAATTCTGGGTTTTCTGATTATGCGTGTCTCAGAATGCTGCAAATGCCATTTCCGGGATTCAAATTAAAAAATTTTCCGTGCCTTCGGCACGAGCTTCCCCCAATATTTCACAAAGTGTCCGCCACTTGCACACACGGTGGCTTAAAAGGACTTAAAACTGTTTATTTTACCGATGAATAAAGTTTTTTTTATTGACTGGGATTTCAATAATTCGGACTGGGATTTCTAATAAAAATCCAACTGGGACTGGGATTTTGCCAAAATTTCAGATGGGAAATGGGATTGGGACCCCCCCCTTCAGGACCCTCCAGCAAGTTTCGTCACGCTTTTGTTCATAAGACATAGCCGTTAAAACTCTAAACAAACAAGATACGACGCTGTTATATGTTTGATACTACGCGGAAAGTTAAGCGCTGTGGGCTAGCTGAAGAAAGAAGACGTAGCTACAATCTGTTGGACTCGGGTTTGTTAAAAAAATACTTTAG